CTTGAACCTGCACATGAACTGCTAATCTTTGAATGAAATGCATTTGAATGAAGACAATCTGCTGTGCCACCTGGATGCACTACCTGAACAAGCTGCAGTAGCCCCTAGACAATACTGGGGAAGACATGAGGAGAAAAATCTTACGATTACAGTGAAGAAAACACAAGGGAAGCTATATTTGACCTGAACTGTACAAATCACTTCTAGGAATAGAAAAAAAAAATTATGGCAATTGCTGCTAAATCCCACGACTTCAATACCTAGACTACCCTTGTAAAGGATGACTGTCAGCTTTCCTGAAGTAAAACCCAAATTCAAATCTGTAAAGCTATCCGGAAAGATGGCCCGTATTCCAGCCTTCCTCATTCTTATCCAGTATGAGACTGCCAGTAATCATACACATTCTGCTGTTAACAGTTAAACAGAAGAGTAGGGAGACAAAAGAGAATTGTGAAAATAGAGAATGGTAGGAAAAACAGAACCCAAATGCCACCATGATCCTTCTACACTAACAGTTGACTATTTTGTTTAATACTCGCCTGCATAAAATAACCCCATACTTCTTTCTCAGGTTTCATATCCAAAGGCTTTTGTCAGAAGTTCCCCGTCACCAAGATACGATTTTTTTTTTCAGCTACTTGAATTGCGTTTTGAGCTAATATTCCTAGAACTACTGATCACAGTGTCTCCAAAGATGCGAGAATGCCAGTTGTTCTTGCTTCTGAAGTGTATCAAGTCAGAGTGGTTGGTTACATAAACTAAGAAACTTTAAACAAAGGGAACCATGGGCTTTGATTGCTTTAGAAACATTTCCGTCTGTCCCTGGGTAGAACCTGCTTAAATTGTACCTGCCTTCTGTGCTCTGCTATATCCACTTCTCATTTACTGCCAGTTTTGTTAAAGTTAACATTCATACAAGTCAAACACTTGTTCATGATTTGTTTTTAAATAATCCCTTTATTACTTCCTCTTCATTTTCCATTCAGTTATCTTTATTTTTCTGTCACTGCCAACCACTTGAGATTCTGCTTTGATTTATCTTACAATGAGGGTTAAAACTCCTATTTCCCTTCGTGTTGCTTTCATGCTCCTTTTCTACAAATGCCTCCATGTCAAACGCTCACCTGGAGCAATATTCATGTCCTTACTAGTCTTATAATTTTCTTACCTGCTTCCAATACCCTGCTTCTTTTCCTCTCTCTGTTAAGCACTTACACACCTCTGCCATCACTCTGAACTGAATTAAAATAAATATATGGAATGAAAGTCCAGGGCAGAAGTTCATTTGTGCCTCTTCCTCAGCCATAAAAGAAAACAAACACCCACGATACAATTTGTTGCAACTCCTCTATACGTAAGTTTTGGCATCTCGGGTGCCTGCTCCCAGGCCGAAGGAGAACGCTGCCTCTCAGAACTCTGCAAGCTTCCACAAAAACCTAACAAGGAAATGCAGCTGTGGCTGATGGCTCGCCTTTCCTTAAGAAGCCTAATTAAATTTCTCACTGGAAACTTCAAAGTCCAATATGAAAATTAAGCTCTTCTAAGAAGTTCATTAAATTTTTTTTTTCGGGAGGAAGGGAGGGACACAACAACTATTTCCATTCTCTCTCTCTGTCTCTCCAGAAACTAGGCCTAGCTGCAGAGGCGTAACAACCACGTTACTGTATGCTCCTAATTCATAAATGGTAACAGAATTGCTTGTAAGGGTCGAAAGAATCAGGCAAATTAAATAAGTATTGACAAGCTGATTAATCTTTTCAATCCTTTACTACCAGGATTTTCATGTCAGCACAACACCTATTTGCCAGTAATAGATACAACCATGCTTGATTTTCCATTTGGAGAACACAAGCTACAGAAAATTTTTGTTCAGGTGCTAATTCAGTGTTCAATATTCATTTCTAATTGAAACATCTCTGCAATAGGAATAATTTAGGATTCAGTACTATCATGCCTAACAGGGGAAATAAAAGTGTGGATGCCAAGAATGCAAGACATTTCTAGGCATATGGCAACTATAGAAGTCTCCATTCAGAGGGAATGAAATTCCCTCAGGTGTCTATATTTAGGATCAAAGAACTTTTTAAAATACAGAACTTGGAGTCTCCAAGGGATAAAAACTACAAAACTGTCTGTAGTGAACTTTATTTAACCTAAGGTTTTGTGCCAACTTAAATACACTGCAGCTCTCCACTTGAAAGAAGGCATTACCCACTGCGTGTTCTGAAATGCATGGAAAAGCCATTACAGGGATAATCAACAGAACTATAAAATAGAAAAGCAATAAAACGACAAAACCAGATACAACTCAAATAGCTTACTTTTCAATTCAGTCAAGCAGTGTTACTTTTAAAGTGATGATTATAGTATTAAAGTTTGTTTATCTATCTACACACACACCTTAAAAGCTAACTCATCTTAAAATCTAGGACAGATTTTTATTTAAGACACTTTAAAAGTCAGGTACTCAGAACAAGCACAATGGGTATTTTTCCCAGGCATCAGTTTCCATGCAGAACACAGGCTCATCTATTGGCTGCATTAGTTACCGGCTCTGCAGAATAAGCTGCAAAGATGAGGACCTCTATGGCACAGCTGAATCAGGTGAAAATTTATGCAGTAAAAATACACTAAAATACTTTCCCTA